CCCCCTCAGATGCCACCACACCCCCCCGGGGAATGCCCCGAAACAGGTCGTACGACCGTACATACGGCCCATACGACCGCCTGGGGGGCCGTACGTAGTCCTCGTATTCGTACGGGGGGACACATAGGCCTACGCTGATAGATGGTCCTATAGCCTGTAGCCGGGTAGGGAGAGGCCGTAGAGGCCGAAACAGAAATGGTACCGGTCAGTCAGTCAGTCCGGTCTAGGTCGTGTCTAGGCTCACGACCTAGACTAGTTTAGGGTATAGATACGATGGGGACATCGGTCCTGAGCTTTTGGCAGTTGACACTTCATGGTGGAAGTTGCTGCGCACACGGTATCAGGTCATGGTTGCTGATCCCGGTGGTGGAGACGGCGGACACAGCCAGACCTTCGGAGCGCTGACCAGACTGGGGTCAAAGCTGGGCTATCAGAGCTCTGATGCGTTGGAGCACGTGGTGCACTGCTGACCCTCCTCAGGAGTAGGGTCCCAGTGGCGATGCAGCCATAGCTGCATCCTCTCAGAGGATATCATCGTCTGGACCTCATCTTCATCAGGGACTGTTGGTGCTGAGCTTCTTCCTCATCATCTGAGTGCCCAGATCCTGTTCCATCTTGGCGCAGGCCACTGAGTTGGATGTCAGGGTGGCGCTGGGTGTTACCTGGGGTTCTGGTGCTATTTTTAGCTGTTCGGTGTGTGTGGGGTTGAGGCGCTACCCCTCTGAGGGTATCGCAACAGGGTTCTGAGGTCATTCAATGAAAACAATGCTCTGAGTCTAATAAACAGTTGTAATACTGTGTTTGAGTTGTCATCTCTTCATCGATTTCTGGCTGTGATCACTCGGTTGTCTTCTATGAATGATTGTTGGGACTTGTGTGGAGAGAATTCACTGTGTTGTGTATTCTGTCACTTCGCTCCCCTGAGTCTTCCGCTGCGTTCCTTTTGTTGGGCGGTGTGACACTCCACTACCTCTTGCCTTCCTTCTGTGCATGTATGGGCGTGTACGGGAGTTCCCTGTGAGTGAGCGTTGATAAAATTTCAACGGACAATCATGTTCATAACACAACTCTGCACCACCCCCGCCAGCCCTTTCCCCGCACCCGCCACCCCTTCACC